ATAGCTTTCATTTAATTTAAGGCCATTCGCTGAATTACATATTACTTATCTCTCGTTGGAAATAAATAAACACGCAAAAAATAAAAATATAAGACGGCCAAACAAGGACATGCGAACCTGTTGGCAAATAAAAATATACCAGCCGCTTTTAAAGAGTTGTCAATCAAATTGCACCAATTACAAACTTTTACGACGTAGCCCCGAGTATCCTATAATCCGCACGTGGCTCCAATTATTTGATAAATTGGATTCCGCTCTTAATGAGTAGCTCACAAAGTTGAAAAGAACATGAAAATGTTATATAAATGTAATGCATATTAATATGATAATTTAAAGATAATCATAAGTAATGCACTTTATTTTATAATATAAATGCAGTCTGGTACAGAAAAAGCTTATCAGCATGCAATTTACTTTATATTGTACATGTAAAAGCCATTACCATTTAATCATTCACTATAAAAAAGAAAAAAAAAATGTTCACAAAAAAGTTTTGTAATCAAATAATATAGTCACGGCCCACAGCTGATAATCCAGATGGCGCCAGATGCAATTATGTAAATAACTTAACAAATAATAAGTTGATAACCTAATTGAACCGCGTCAATACAATTTCGAAACTTCTCGGTTCTTGAAACTATTAAATACTGTCGTTAAGCCTTGACCAGCGCGCTTGACATGGAGTTTTTTTGTTGTAAAGATATTTACTAAAATCGTCAAGATGGATTACAGCTCCGCTGTTATCTATTCCATACTTAAGAAAGAAGAACTTGAAGTTTTTTATCCTTGAATTGCGTATTTTTATATATGCATATGCCCGTTTATTTTTACACATTTCAGGTATGCAGGGTATACAAATTATAAAATTAAGTTGAATGAAAATATAATGTTCATTTGACTGCCTGTCAAAGCTAAAGCCCTGAATCTCGTTCGTCTCACTGAACTTTTCGCCGAACAGCAAAAGCTGCGGCTTAACTGAAAATCCAATTTGATGTGAACACGCAAATTAATGGAATTATGGCTGCCTGGAAAAAATGGATTTGGCATGTGAGATGTGCTTGAAAGTTGTTGCCAATGGGACTTTCAACCGATTTTGCCGTTGTCATAGCGCCAGCATCTGAAGTTGAAGGGCTGGATAAGTGTTGGCGGTGGTGGTGGTTGGGGTAGAGGGGAAATGAAATATAGTTGTAAAACTTCTTTCATTTTCGCAACAAAGTTTTTCTGTGTGACTAACAAGAATGAAACTTTTTGCGAACTTAAAAACTTATTGCAAATAAATTCCCAATGAAATGTGAAACGGCTTTAAAGGGCTTCGCAATGCTGGATGGAAATGTGATTACTTTCATCAAAATTACATCTATCATAACTGCACTCATTCAGTGCCAGACGTCATGCAGCCATTCCATCATGTCAGCACATTTCTAGTGCTTCGTTCTTTGTGCCCCATTGTTGTTGAAGCTCTCAATTATTTTCGTTGTTGTTTTTTCAGCTTCTAGCTAATGTTGTTGGGGCATCCTTTCAACATTTTCTAATTGAAATTGATTTAGAATTATTTATACATTCCCTGCTTGGAACATACTGCCAAGGGCTGCTGCTAATGGCCAACACAAGCGCAACGTCCTTTCCATTGGACACCCTACGATTGCGTAGATATGCTTAAAATGAAGGTAGCATGATTTTCAACAGCCGACAGGATATTATATTTTATGCATAATAATTTTATTTATAATATATTTATTACGAAAACTCACATACATAAAGAACTACTTCTCAACCGATTTGGATGATTATTTTTTTGTTTTATACCCGAAAAAAGCCAAACAGAAAGATCGAAAATAAGTTTGATGGGAATTGGATTATTATTTATTATATTTATAGCCAATCTCTGTAAATTACTAGACTGAACTGAAAATAAGTTACCGTTAAATCAACTCCCAAAATCTTAAAAACGACTGAACAGATTTGGTTCCTGTAAAATGGATTGTGAAAAATATCCCAGTCGTTTTACAGTGTCCATTACAATGCAAAAGAAAACTCTGATCTAGTACTGGGCGGCGGAGTCGTTCGAAGTCAAAGACCAGTACGCTAGGGATGATAAAATAAGTCGTGCTATCATAACTAAATAATAAGTATGTATAACTAAAAACAGGGACTAAAGGAAAAAGAATTGAAGGAAGCAATAACAAGAATTGAAGAAAGCAACGCCACCAAATAGAGAGACGCTGTAGAGGATTTATAATTTTGTCAAACTCCTTAACCTCATTCTCTCTACATATGAGCAAAACCGTATGCCATGTAGCTGCCATATCAAGATATCGTGACCAAATTTGGCATTTATTACTTCATTGTGCTCTTTACATCATCAGGTATCATATAGCTTTATAGACAGTGTAGTTGGAAAATATATCATCACCAAACTAAGCAAATTTACAATTTGATTCGCAAAATTTCCAAATCATGAGCCATACAAGGGCATTTATAGGGCGGGCCGAAAATAGCCGTACCGTCATGTTTCTTTCTAATATAATGTTCGTTCACACCCCGGACGAAGCCGGGCAATTTCTTCGGGGATTTATTAAACATTCGCTCTTATTTTTTCTATTTGTTGGTACATTCTTGGTACGAAGAACAATTTAATAATCTTAACAGCTAAAAATTAAAAAACATAATAAATGTTAATATAAGCAATTTTATCTAAGTTATTTGTTCTTATCTCTATACTAATGTTCCTACACTTTATAACGGCTACGACTACTTTTGTTCTGGAAGGGAATTGAAAAACAGTTTCAATACATAGCTTTCATTTCTCCTTGATGTTGTTGATGCTTGATTGGCTGATTGAAATATCTATTAATTGGAATTACTTGGCCAAATTGAGCCCTTATTTGTGTCTTTGGGAGCGGATGTGGGCGAGAAACCAGTTTTCTACCCGCTTTCAGTTTATGGCAAGTCATTTGAACGTGATTGAAAACATGGGGGTTGCAGCTGGTTTATTTTTTTCTTTATTTCGCAACGTTTTTAATGGTATGTCAGTCGCACTGGACTTGAGCAACTTTTAAGTGGGCTGCGCCGACCGAGTATCCAACGTGAACAACGAGCCGAGCGGGCGCACGAGCCCCGAGCCGACCAGTTTGGAGGCCCACATTTGGCTAGCGAACGAGCGAGTGCCGCGAGCGAGGAGAACGTGAGCAATGGCCATGGAGCATACATTATGATGAATGGCTTTCAAGTGGAACGTCGCCCCCTAATGCCCTGACTCCAAATTATGTATGTTGGCTGCTCGCTGCGCGTGGGCATGTGGCAAGCTTCCCATATACTATACATATATTTTATATGTTTAGTATATATATAAATATAAAATGGCTGTTGCCTGATGATTTATGAGCGCTGAGGCGTTTCGAAAGCTGTGTGAGAGAGAGAGAGTGAGAGGGTCATTGGAGAAAACCGAGATAGACTTTCTCTCTACGGCATTGGTGACGTCAACACTGAGTCCCAAGATGGATCGCTGGATCGTAGCAAACGTATTGCACTGATGGATCCCAGTTTGACTGCAATGCCGAGCCGCAAAATCGCACAACTGTTTCTCGAATTTGACTGGGTCTGGTCTGTTGTGGCGCATTTATCAATGTCCATGGCGCTTCCGTTGCCACACACACACACACACACTGGTTATTGCATGTAAAACGCTCGTATACCAATGCAGTAATCTTTATCGAGCAAAAGCATAATCAATCAATTGGATTTATGTGCTCCAACTCAAGATAAAACTAATCAATCTTGCCCTGCGACAGTCGGAGACGACGACCAGAGCAGCACCAGCAACAGCCTCCCCAACCCATTCCAATGTATCTCCACTTCCAGTAGGGAGCTTTATTTATTTGCTTACCCCAAGATAAGCTGTTTCTTTTATTTTTTCTATTGCTTAATTTATGCCCTCTTGTCTCGCTGGAAAATTAGTGCAATTTATTATGAAAGATATATTGGCAATGCAAAAGATATCCTTTAATCGTGTAAACCGATTTTAAAATAAAAAAAATTAAATTATGACAATTCTTTAATTAATATCAGATTAACATTATGTTAACATGTTAACGTAACAGAATTATGCAATCAGCATGTTTCAGCCTTTCTGTCCATCTGATCGTTTTTCCTAAAAAAAAATTAAAAATCGGTAACATTATAACTTTTTTTTAAGCATACATTTTGTACTTCAAATTTCATAGTTCGGACAATTAAAACTGAATTAAATCGGAAGCACGGAAGCATTTCCTAGTGTGCAGATAAGAAAACAAGCCGCAGCGTGTTTTTTTTTTTATGTGTATCTACTGTATATGGTATACAGTCATTCTATAAAGAAAACTGGAATGTTATCAATGATATCTCGTGGCAGGGTTCAGGGTATATCTTAGTTGGACACTTCTGACTAGAGCACTATTGTTCAGACATTTCTGACTAAACCAACATATCGACTGAATCCTCCAGTTCTAGTTTGTAATCAAAATTCTTCAAGCTTTCCCTGGAATCTAATATTATGTATGTATACCAAAGATAATCAGTAACCACACAAAATATATGGAGTTTTCACACTGATAACAGCTGGTGGCCATTTTGAATAGTTTGCCAGGTCATCAGGCTGCGGCTTATCAAAATTACTCCGATAAGTTCAGGTTAGATTAGATAATGCTAGTTGAGCTAGTCATCAATCATAGGGTAGTGAAAGTTTTACCTTATGAATAAGTCGTTTGAATGAGCAATACAGGAAAATATAATTAATAGAAGCACTCGTTAGCTTTATGATATATCATCCTGAACTAGAAAAAATAATTATTGAGTTGCTCCACTTGTAGATAACCCACTAAGTAACACAAAAGTGCTCACCTTGAGTTTTATAGCCTTTATATAGTCGCTGATAAGCGCGTCACATTTGAATATAAATATTTTAAGCTTTTATGATGCGTTCGCTTGGTAATCAAATCTTTTTTTTTTAAATATATTTACAGTCCGAATCAAATTCATCGGCATCCGCCAAATTTACGCTCTTCAAATGCGTTTACTGTGCCCAGGTGCTGGGCATCAACGATCGCCCCAAGCTGCTGGAGTGTCTGCACGTGGCATGTGGTCAGTGTGTGAATACAAAGTTCTCTGAGCTGGATCGTTCATTACCGCCACTAATACACTGTCCAGTGTGCGATAATGCCTCACAGAATGAGTACATCATTGAGAATCAGTTTCTGATTGAGCAATGTGCGGCCGGGGACAGCGGCGATGGTAACGGCTCCACCGATGGTTTGAAGAGTTCTCTTACGGCCAACATACAGTGCAGCAGCTGCTCGGATGGAGCTGTGGCCACATCGTGGTGTGTGGACTGCTCGGAGTACATATGCGATAGCTGTGTACACGCGCATCAGCGTCTCAAGATCACAAAGGATCACACGATCAAGCCAAAAGATGAGGCCAACAATGAACAGCTGGCAGGCACTGTCGGCGTCGACAAGCTGCACATGTGCCAACTGCACACACAGGAGAAGCTTTCGTTGTTCTGCGAGACCTGCGACAAGCTAACCTGTCGTGATTGCCAGCTAAGCGATCATAGGGATCACAAGTACAAGTTTGCCCATGAGATTGCCACAGAGTCGCGACAGGCATTGTCCACGCTTGTTTCTGAGATCAACTACAAGCGCTTTCTGCTATCCTCAGCCACAAAGGTGATCGATGATCGCCAACAGCTGATACATGACAAGAAGAAGGATCTGATCAAAGAGATAACCGCAATGGTGGTTAAGATCACCAACACAGTCAACATGCGTGGCAAGCAGCTGGTCATGCGTCTAAACGAAGTATGCGACAGCAAACTGAAGGTGCTTGTCGAGAAGAAGGAGACGCTGCAGCTGCTCTCCGATAACACCGATCATTGCATTGAATTTATGCAGAATGCCCTCGAAAAGGGCAGTGATTTTGCAATATTGTCAAGCAAAAAGTCACTCGTACGTCATCTGCAAAAGCTCAAATGTCAGCGAGCTGATATACCCAATCCAGAGATTCCAGTTCGGATTCAGGTGCAGCTAAACCAGGTCGCTGAACTGCAGAAGGTCATCTCACAGCTGGGCATTGTTATAGTAGATGGCAAACCATATCCGCCGGCACCGGCGCCCACACAAAATGGACCCCAACCACCGCCGCCACGTCAGCCACCTAGCCCAAATATGGCGCCACCATTGCGTCCCGGATTACCCCCGGGCATGACGGCAGGCCTATCGCCCAATGGACCACCAGGCGGTTTTGGACCACAGAACGGACCGCCCATGTACAGTAATGCGGCCGCACAACAGCAGTTCAACAATTTGTCCATGAGCCGCTCCTTTCCAGGTGATGGGCCAGGTAAGGGTAGGCTTCAATTAACCAATATTCTTATATCGAAAAGTTAACTTTTGCTAACATCACCTTACTTATCTCCTTGCAGTTCGTTTTGGCGGCATGCCACCCGTGGGCATGCAGCGTCAGGGTCAACCGCATGTCAGCTCCTCCACACATCCGCAGAATATGGGTACGTACGAAAATCAAATTATCATAAGCATTTTCATCCAATGCTTCATGTTTCCTTTAGACATTAGCCTGCGTGGTCTGTTGAACAATCAGGCAGCGCAGAGTCCTAACGCTCATCTGGCCTTTAATGGGCCACCCAGCTATCCAGGCGGGCCGCAGGGTGCGCCCTCGCCGGCACACCAGCAATCAATGCCCCCGATGCGGGCGCATTTTATGCCCGGCCAACAGAATTTCGGACAGGGTGGCGGCCCGGGCGGTGGGCCCAGAGACAACAACAGCTTCATGAACAGCAACGCACGCTTCCAGTCGCAGTACCAGCGGCTGGCCAGCCATGCACAGCAGCAGGCAGCGGCAGCTGCCATGGCCAGTGCGGGTGCTGGCGGCGGACAGATACCCTCGCCTGGCTCACTACAACGACCACCAATGATGCCAAATCCCATGCAAAGTGTAAGCTTGCGCATTCAGCTCTAAAACTAGTTGATATTTTTAAAATTATTCTTGGATCTTTTAATAGGCATTGGGGTTTCATGGGAGCCCGGCTGGCTTTAACGCTGGCCCGCCGCAAACATCGCCGCAGCTGAACAACGCCATGCACAGTCTCGCCAAGTGGCATATACCGCAATCTGCGCAGCAATCAAGCAGTGAGTGACATTGATAACAATTTCACACAGCACCATTAACAATTGAATTGATTTCTCGGGTGCAGTTTGCCAACAGCAGGGACCGCTTTTGCCTTTTGCAAACGGACGCCAGACATCGGAAAATTTTAAAATCTCATTAAAGTCGCCAAATACTTTAAAGAACAGCACACCTCCCAGTCTTAGCATTGGTGGGCCCGCACTGCCAGGCTTGAACAATGGTTCGTCGGCTGCTAACACAATAGCGCAGCTTAATGCCGCTGCCCTTGGTCTTGGTCCAGCGGTTTCCATACTCTCTAATGTCACATCGACAAATCCAAAGACACCCAGCCCCAGCACGCATGAGGTGAGACGGTCAATACAGATTATTAATATAATGCCTGATTGCTAACTTATTTTGGTTTGTTTTCATTGGCTTAGAACACCAAGGATTTTACAGAACCCATTGACAAAGTACGTGACGACTCCATAAATGATCTGATTGCCACCATTGCCAAATTGGACTCGAATGGCGTTCAAGTGTTGCCAGAAGGACGCACCAAGACCACCTCGCCGCAAGTGCACAGTTCGACGGATCTATCCAATACGCAGGAAGGTGAGTGTCATTGACTTTAATCTGTTTTGTGCTTTCGGTATTGGCTAAATCTATGGGTTGTGGGAATGTGTGAGTGTGTCGTAACAGTGCTGTCTTTAAAGAAACTGTACTCAACTATATGCAAAAGAAATTTGTCATCATATGTATGGGTCAAATGTCATAAACAATTTTGTTTCTTCGAATATTAGCAGCTAAGTAAACACATAATGCTATATTAATATTGTGTGTTCAATAGTTTGCGTGCTGTTACTAAAATTTGTTTGTTAAACAGCTCATACATTACGGTCTTAAATTTCTGGGCTTCTATTTGAATGTGTGAGAAAAACAACCTGTGTTATTTCAAACTTTCACTATTGTGTATTGTATATCATAGTCTTATGTTTAACATTACTTTGCTGTTGGTTTTAAATCGATTTAATTCAATTCTCATATAACTTTGCTTTGTTTATTTCTATTTTCAAAACTGCAAACTCGTTTTCCAAATACCAAAACAAAAACCCAAAATAAAAACCGATCCAAACGCGCAATAAACCGTACCAATCAATTACTAACCAATAAATTAATATATTCAATAATTAAAAATAAAACCAAATTACAAAAAAAAAAAAAAACAATCGAAACACGAAACACATACACATTCATACACACCCACGCCTATACACACTCATCGAAACATAAATGCAAACCCAAAACTAATCATATCAGTTAATAATAAAAACGAACAAAAAGATGACCCCAATGAGGATTGGTGTGCCGTATGCCTGGATGGCGGCGAATTAATGTGCTGCGACAAATGCCCAAAAGTATTCCATCAGAACTGTCACATACCCGCGATTAGCTCCCTGCCGGATGAAAGCGAGAGCTGGCAATGCTTGTTGTGTGTCAATCTTAAGGAGCTGACCAAAGTTGAGGGCAACGAGAAGCCGCATCCTGGCGAGCTGAGCAGCTTAGAATTGAGAATACTCCAGCGCATATGCCTGGAACTATACTGTCAGTATGAACAGAGTCTTAATTTCCGCGAACCGGAGTCACCAGCCAACTCCCAGTACTATGATATTATTTGCAAGTAAGTCCCAACGACAGTTACTGTTGGAATCCAAAGCCGATTAACTTTTTGTCGCTGTAGCCCTATGTCGTTGGATGTTATACGCACGCGCTTAGATCCTTCCAGCCCTAATCATTACAAGGATATAGCCGGCTTTGTCGCCGACGTACGTCTTATCTTCAAGAATACTTACCTCTTTTATCAGGTAAGTGAAATGTGTATTTGTCGACCAAATATCAGTTTGATAAATTTGTGCTGGTATTGCTTTCACACAGGAGGATTCGAAAACGTACAGCAATGCCAAGTATTTGGAAAATTTCTTTGAAGAGCAGCTCGCCAAATGGCTGCCCAACTTTGGCAGCAAGAGTGGTGCCTCCACCTCGTCCAATTCACCTAACATGTTAGCGGCAGCGACTGGCTCGCCTGCGCCAATTGAGAATGGGCGCAAGAGCTGCAGCTCCGCCTCGCTAGCTGACAGCGAGGATGCTTGCTTGCCGGCCAAGCGTTCACGTCGCTCGGCGCATGAATAGAACGAGCTTTTGCCCGACGAGAAGGGCACGGAGAAGGAACCGCAGCCGGAGGAGAAAGAGAAGGGAGGTGAAACACAAGACCAGCCGGAGCAAGAGCAGCGGCAGTCAGACGATAAGCAGACGCTGCAAGAAGATGAGCCTGAGCAAAATCAGGAGTCGCACTTAGCAGATATGGAGCTAGATTTAGCACAGCGACCGCGCAGTCTGGGTAGCAGTGTAATACAGGAAAGCGCCGACTATGTGCTCCAGCTGCTGCACGCATATGCCGCCGCCTTCGGACTCTAGAGCGTTTAATAGAGTGACTCATTAAAGAACATATCCGTACACACTCGCAACTAATAAGTCCAACATTGTTATAAATTATGAATGGCGCTATCAATTAGTTAATAAGTATATATGAAAAAACGTCGTCTAATCATTTAGAACAAACAACTTGTAGCTGTTGTAAATTTAGTTTTGTATTACCCAACTGTAAATAAGCAAATCATTTGATATGATTTATGGATTAACAATGCAAGAATAACTCGATGTTCGTGTGGAGATATGTTTTAGATACAATCTTAAGTGTTAAATATACATATGTAAGCAGATATACCAAGTAGAGATTAATTTGTAGTTTACTTCAATTTCACTGCATAACTTAAGAGTGCTCCCAGCTCTATCCTCTAACCCCATATCTGTTAGAGTTGTATTTACTTTTGTGATAGCAAAAAAACAATAAAAATAATGAACAAATTATGCCCTAATATGTATATTACTGCATCCCAACTCATTTTGACATTTTACTTTCGAATTTGCTGTGTACGATATTTATTGCCCATTGTTCCGATAATGTATCTATCTATAGATATGTATACCTAGGCATTTCTCAGAACATTTTTTTATATTTCGCATACGCTCATTTATAAAACAGCAAACATTCGTATACCATTTAGGAAGACACTTGTAATAAGTTACAATTAGAGTAATAAGTTCGAATAAATCAAACCCACAATAGAAATACAGGCATATAAACATATAAATAATAATTATATTAGCATAGAACTTTTAATGTTGTACGTTTGACGTTTTAGTTTTAGTCTACCATATAGAGCCGATCAGGCATACAGCCAATCAGTCTACTAGTAATATCCATTATAGCCATAACCGTACACTACTCCATGATAAAATATATTCATTCACAACAGATATGCATTGGTATTGGTGTGTACATACATATACATATATATGAAAAAGTATTCATAATTATTTCCCATTAACCTAAACAGTCAAATGCTGTGGCCAACACCTTGTTTTTATTTTACATACAAATGTATAACTGTACGATATGAAATTAAAACTGTAATGAAACTCATTTCGCAATAGTGTGAATATTTTTATAAATATTTTAACTAAAGAAATAAAGAAAATATCTCCTAACAAATCTACTCAAACTGCAAGAATAAAGCAAACTCTCCTATTAATGTCACACACCATGAAAACAATAAAAACGAAAATGAAATTGAAATTATATAGATGTATTATCTACTATATATATATATATATATATATATACATATATATATATATATGAATTAATAGAGGAACATATGTGTGTGCTATCCTATCGAAGTTGAAGCAAGCAATTGAAAGTGAAATGGTCAACCAGGCATATGCCCAACTATGTTTATATGTTGAATGTGAAAACAATAGAAATTATTATATATGTATCTGTTTTAGTAGTAAGTTTTATGGTAAATATCTATAAAAACAAAAAACCAATACCTTATGAATGTACTACTTACTATCAAGTGGATTTTTAAATAATAAAAAAATGGCAACATTTCATTGATGCACGCTTTTAATCAATCATATTCCAAAGAAGCCATCGTCACGCATATATTGCTCGTCGAGATGCGAGCTTGGCTACAGCAGAAATCGCTCATCAATCAGCGTCTTTCGGGAGACATTGCGACGCACCCAGTGCTTAAAGGTGTGGCGCACAAGCTACAAAGAATAATGGAGAGCTGTCGGAAATACTTAGTACTTAAGAGAGCTAATTCGCTTACCATATTCAAGGCGCACGCGATGGCAGCTGCAAACAGCAGACTGGAAGTCAGCAAATAGATCGAGAGCAAGACAAGCAGCTCCAGGACAAAGATGTGCACATGATTACCCAACAGCAGCACGCGGCTAAAGCTTAGGCTATCATCTATATAGAAGGTACCTTTATCTATAAGATATAAGAGATATAATCTGCTGTCATATACACTAATGGATGACCCACTTTCCGTGAGATAATTCTCGATTTCACAGTTAAATAGCTTTTCCACCAAAGTTCTCTCCTTAATAATATAATCCATGTCCTTGATGGCCTGCATTAAAATCATGTTTTAAGCCTTTGGAATATACTTATGATGGGAAACGTGCCCAACTAAAGACTATAACGATTAATGTTTTCCAACTCACATGATCTATGAAAGCGCAGAAAAATCGATTAATGCTGGCGTAAGCAATAGAGGTGCGCTCTACCTGGCCATCGATGCTGGAGATTTGCAGATCCTTCTGATAGAGCAGCGTCTGCGACATGCTGCCGTTTCGACTGCGCTGAAAGGGCAGCAGCAGGCGATCCAAATAGGTGCTGTGGGGCAAGCATATAAATCAACTAGAGATCCTGTTAAGATATAGACCCAAGATCTGCCTACCGTAGATTACGCGGTGGTAATATAATGTAAGCCTGTTTGTCGGAATCAATCAGTAGTCCACGACGTCCGCACATGTTCTGTGTCTCACGCTGCAGCTGCAGGATCATGGAAGACATGTCCGTATCGGCAAAGCCATGTGGGGAACGTCCATGTATATAGTATCCATAGCCTGGCTCCAGCAGCGAAAATAGCGAGATATTGGCCAGACTGCACAGATCAACGAATTTCTGCAGAGGATTGGAGTAGAGCAATCTACGCAAGACCAGCTGCAGCAGATAAGTGGACAAATAAACTGCAGCGATCAGGCAGCAGCTGAGTCCGAAGTCGCTCTGGGTCTGGGTAAAACGCTGCAGCAACTGATGAGCAACGATGACAACGAAAGCCTGGACCAGGCTGGAATATCTCTGGGTGGCGCTGAGTCGTATCCAGGCGTTGGCCGTGAAGAGCACGCGCCAGGCGGAGACGCTGCTCTCGGCGACGTAGGTGCGCACGCTGGAGCAGAGCGAAGTGCTATCCAGATTCAGACGCTGGCCCTCACAGCTGCTGCGTGGTCGCTCCCAATCGATGAGAAATAGCTCCAGCTGACTGGCGCGTCGCAGATGCACTGCCAGGAAGATTAGCTGCAGCACGCAGGCGGGATAGATGAGCAGCGCCAGCTGGTCAGGAACGCTAGCCTGTAGCGTCAATAGGAGCAGCGCTGTGGCCAGCAGCGCCAGTGCCACATTGGCGGCCAACTGTAGCATCAGCTCGAGCAGATTTATGGTCTGGCACAGCTCCGTCCGCCGTCGTCTACGCAGATTCTGCAGACGCAGCAGTGCCGCCACCAAGGCGAACAGCAGTAACAGCGGCAAAGCCAATTCCATCAGCAGCTTAGCTGCCACGCCCTGACGCACATGCTCAAAATGCACGCGCAGCCAGAAAGGGTAGAGTTGAGTCAGGGACGCATTCGCCGCAAGCTCAAAGTGACGATAGCGTAGCCGCAGCAGTGGCAGACCAATGCGATGCCCGTCCTGAATGCTGTACTGCAGTTCCACTTGGTCCACATAGCGCAGAGATCGGTACAGCTGCAGCTTGTGGGCGTCCTCGTAGCGCGGCAGGGTCGGATGCAGCCGATTGTCACGGGGCTGTCCCGAGATCAGCTGAAAGCGCTTGACTAGCTGCCATTCCTCCTCTTGCGGACGCTGAAAAGTTGAGGAGCAGAATGTGAGAGGAGGATTATAGCAAAGAATGGGATGGGGTATACCTGGTTCTCCGGTGTTAACGTTTCGATAAGCACAGGCAGCTGGTGCAGCAAGTGTACCCAGTTGCTGCTAAAGTTGAGATAAAGATTGTGATAGTTGTCATTGCCCTCCCGGCTGGCCACATCTATGAGCTGCTCCAGGCTTAGCTGACAACTAATCTCTGGCTGATGCTGAGCAAACTGCAATGTTGGCGCCCTTTGGCCTTGGCAGAGATTCAATTGCTCCAGCTTAAAGCCACCCCAGCGCTTTAGACGTCCCGCCAGATCGTAGGTAGTGCTAAGGATCTGCAATTCCATCGGACTCGCCAGCTGGAGTGTAGTTGTGAGAAACTCTCGCGTTGTCCTGCCCTTCTTATAAAACAGGAAGGGCTCCAGGGCGCGCAGCTGCTCGCCGGCGTGTGCATATTTCATGACCACATCCGACATCTGGGTGAGCAAAAACGGGCTGCACGGCGAGTGTTTGTCCATGGAGTAGTGCGAGAGCACACAGAGATTAGCCAACTGCTGGCAGGCACTGTCGTTCTTTAGAGCCAAGCAAAAGAATGCCACAAACTTGAGATCCCCAAAGTGCAGCCTGCTAGAGCTGGGCTTAAATTTGATGGTCGCCTGCCAGAAGGCATTATAGTGCAGATAAGGATGCAACAGCGCATTGGCTATGCAATAGTCCTGGTAGCGATAATTGTACGCTGCATTGCAGCTATGACAGTCGCTGCTGTTGCTCGCAGGATTCGTTCTGGTTAACACTATGGAACCGCTTGCTGGATAGGCTGCCGTGCTATTGAGATATTGGAAGCTGCATTGCAGGGGCAGCAACTGGGTGGACCAAGCTGGAGTACAGCTCTCAGATGTCTTTGTGGAATTGCTGCAGATCTCATCACAGGTTGGCCAACGTTTGGATTTCTCGAATAACGATATGTGACCAACTGGACACTCACAGGCGAACTCTAAATGGGTAGAAAATTATTATAAAATCGATATCATAATAAAGTTCGGAGAAATGGGATCATTCCGCAAAATCCAGGACGACGAAAGCATCTCCTCCCATGGTAACCCATTTTCTCTTATTTTTTATTATATATCATTATAAGAGGAAGGGACACAACACTTTTGACTTCTTTATCGTATAAAAACTCGCACATTGAATAAGATCTTTGAGCCAGAAGTTATTTGCGAATATACAGTCCATGGAATGGGGCTCAGAAAATAAAAAGGATATTATGTGCGCAGACTGCTAAACAAAGGGAAATGTGTGCCACAAAAATACAGGGAAAATTCAAGTTGGGCACTTGGACTCGAAATTTGAGACAATTTATGGGCATGCAATGTGATCATTATACAAATTTAAGTTTATTTGCACGCTCTAAAAAATAAGGGGCCGTGGGAGAGTATTTAGATGATTTTTAAGGACCTTTCATTTGAGTTGTACATGTCGCATAATCTGTTCAATATTTAACCTCAATAAAATACCCCACCTGCATCTTTCTACTTTAAGGTAGACTCTCTAATTGCATCGGACGGCCCCCTGGGCTCCATGGTTATTTGTTTAATCAATACACTTACTATCCGCAGCGGGCTGCAGCTCGTTCGTGTCTCCATTTCCAGCCTCATTGCAGGGTGAACATTCGAAATAGTTCAAGTTATAGAACTCGTTCCTAAGGCACTCTTGGATATGTTGAAAGCGAAATGTATTTGGCGTGGGCGACTGTTTTGTGTCCAGAAGAGTACAGTTTCCGAATTTGATGAAAACCGTTGTCCACAACAATGGGAAGAACCAATTTACCAGTAGGAAGCACATAATATTAAAAACTATGTTAGCTATATGGTAGTTCTTTCGGGTTCGAATACCAAATGGGAACTGAGTGCTAGCTGCAATTGCAGGTGCACGTGGGCAGGTAAACAAAGTCCTGGCTTATTCGATGTGTGCGCATATTCCTTATTGTTTTCCAAATGTTGCTATAGCTACCCAACCCTCGCCGCGGCGATAACGACTTAACCATGCAAAATGCCTATTACACCTGGTGGTGGTGGCGGGTCGAATGTGGTTTTGTTTTAAAACAGGTGAGTGGCTGACCACCACAGCAATGGGTTATTGAGGGCGTCTCTTGTTACGCCTCTCGCTTTGGTTATCGCGTGCCAGACGAGCTTTCTTTTTGCGTGCTGTAAATTATGATTAGCTCATTTATTTTGGTTACATTTTGCCGACATAAGTCATTTTGCCAACAATAAGAAATATAATTAAGCTCTTATAGACCTACATTAAGGAATGTCGCAATGCAAATGGAATTTATGGGGCTCAAAATAATACTACCGCTTTTGAGGAAAATAATTATTTTTTAATATTTAGTTAAATGCGCTTACAATAAATGTCATGTACATATAAGAATGTGGCACAGTCTACTGACTGTTTTTTATAAACTATTCTAAGAATTACATTTAAAAATTAACGTTTTTATATGTTATCGATACATGTTTTTCGTATAACAGTTCTGACTTTAATATGTAATATAATGATACAACCATAAACATATCGGCGGATCCCATAAATCGCAACTTATTATTCATTATATCGATATGTTCACTTGATTAAATCATCGCAAAGTTTCGATTAATCGATATAATGAGTATCAACAATCCCCACTTCCTTGCCGAAGGACAACAGAAATAGACGGCAGACACATACAATTTTCATTTTGGTGTTGCTGTTAAGATCTAGACACATTTTCAATCCAATTGGACAACTAGCCAGAACCGTTAGTGTTTCAAAGATGCTCTGGTGGCGCCAGTCCAAATAGATGCAGATGCCACTGCACTTGCAACAGTACATAGCCGAAAAATGAACAATTTGGTGAGTGTGGTGTGTGTATGTGTGCATTGGGTGGGTGAGGTGGGAGTGTATAGGTGTATAGGTGTTGGCGTGCATGTATACGTCGGTGTGAGCTGTGTATTGAGACTTAATGTGTTTGTGTTTGTGCGGGTGCTGAAACCTGATTGCAGGAACACGTCAAGCACTATTATCCAGAAAACTACAAATTGGATCTCTCGGAGACAATGAAGGCGGCACTATCCAAGGGCCCTGTGGGCGGGGGCGCGGTCAATGCAGTCAGCAGCAACAATGGCAGCAGCAGCAGCAACCTCACCAGCTCGATGGGCGCACCAACACACAGCGATATGTTGCAACAACAGCCGAACGCCGGCGTTGGCTATGTGACCGAGAAGCTCTACATGCTGCTGCAGCTCTATCTGCAGAATAAAGGGTGGAACCCAAGCGCAGAGCTGCTGCAGTGCTTCAGCGATCTTAAGGATAATGCGATGCTGCCCAGCGCCGCCTACTTGCAGTAAGTAAAAGAGTCAATAACCTATTTTTATGCCAATTTAAATTACGCCATCCTCCCTGCAGAGTACTGGCCAATCGACTGACGTTGGACTCACAGGGCAGGCTTATACTGCGCGACAATGGCAAAATTGTGCTGCCCTTTGAGCACTTTGCTAACGCGGTCATGCTGAAGCACATGTCGGGGCCACATGGTCTGCATCTTAGTGTGGATGCCACGGTGCGTGCTGTCATTGAGTCCTACACTATTGGACGTGATCAGTTCGGCATGGAGAAGGAATTCATCATCGAGGTCGTGCAGTCATGCCCCAGTCCTGCTTGTCGTTACTACAAGAATCACATGGGCATATCACCGATGCCGTTTATGGAGCAACAATATCCGGGCGTTAATACTCCTGATTTCTTGCAGCGTCTCTCGCATCTACCACCAAGCGCAGCAGCAGGCAGTGCTGCGGTGAGCTCAGCAGCTTCCAGCGCTGCTACTGGCGTCTCCAGTGGCAGCAACAATGCTATTCCTGTTGAGATTGATTTGTCAAAATCAAGCGGCTCCAAGGTGCCGACACAGTTGCAGCACTTAACAAAGCAGCAGCAGAGTAGCATACAGTCGCAGCTGTCACAAATAAGTGCCGCCGCTGCTGCAGCACATCATCAGCAACAACAGCAACAACAACAGCAGCAACAACAACAACAACAACAGCAGCAGCAACAACAACAACAACAGCAGCAACAACAAGCGCAGGCTCAAGCCCAGGCAAAACACCAGCAACAGCTGACAGCTGCATTGATTCAACAGCAGAATCGTGTGCTCGCCCAACAGAGCCTGGAGAAGCTTAGCAATTTGAGCGCTTTGGAGAAGCAACGTGTATTTGCACAGTTGGATCCCAAACACTTTGATCCAATGGCAGTTGCCGCAGCGGCAGCCAATTTGCAAATTCAAGGCATGATGCAGTCGCAAGCTGTGGCCGCGGCTGTGGCCTCCAATCAACAGCAGCCAATACCGCTAGCTACGAGCAACTCTTCGGCAACGGTCAGCTCCAGCGTTAGCGCGCAGGTGCACAATACACACCATTCGTTACCGCCGCCTTCGCAGTCGCCGCACTCGTCGTCATCGTCTTCCTCGCACTCTTCGATGGATCCGCTACCGCATAAGAATATTTCGGAGTCATTGAGGTAAGTTTTTTATTGTTATATTATCCGCTCACTTAAATCTAGTTCTTTCTTTCTTACTAGATCAAATCTGGACTCGATTGAATCGAACAAGGATCTGTTGGCACTGCACAATGGCGCTTGGGCCAGCCACGATGCCAATCGCATAGATCACATGACTGTTGGCCAGGACAAGATTGTGCGCATTTTCTCGGAGCTAATGCGTAACATGTCGCGCATGAAGACATACATACGCCCCTCAATGTGCAAGCCCTATGGCAAACAGAGCGAGAGTCTACAGAAGAGTAAGTTAATCCGCTCAAGGAGCTGTTCAACTAAAACAACTTTCTCGTCCCCCACAGCTCTCATGGATACTATTCAAATTGTGCAGACTTTGCGTAATTGCTTGCCGGCACCCCACATTCCAGTTTCATCCTGGAAGAGCGAGAGCGAGGGTAGCGTTAATGTGGGCGCGGGCGTAGGTGTAGGTGTGCCTCCCGGCTTGAGCATGAATGCGCTTGGCTTGCAATCCGGCAGAGTGGACAACTTGCTCTAAGTGGATCCGAGACGAAAAACGTAGTTGAATCGCAGCAAATTACATTAGGTAATATTTTAATATTCCCGCGATTCCGAGCATCAATACAGTATTTATATAGACTAGATTATCATCTTCATAGCCTTGGCTCATGGTTTTCCAATTACCTATTATGTGCCATGTTTAACACAAGACTTGATTTCATTTTAATATTTGACTGATTTTCATAATACAATGTCACTAGCTAAAAGTGGTGTATCCCTTTTAGATTGTGTCACAAGATTTATGCGCTTAAGCTCGGCTAGGGTCTAAGATTGAGCAGCAGTCCAATGTCCAATCCATACCTATAAGAATTGTTTAATTTCTTCATTTATTTACTTGTTTTCATTTGTTATTCGGCATAAACAAAATTGACAAAGCATATTAATTCAATTGGCAAAAAGTCTGTGATATTTAAATTATGTTTAAAGCAGCACATTAACTAAACAAAAACATACCTAAATTAAATTAATTTATAATTGTGTGCCCTTTGTTGTGTAAACTACAATTTACTTTGTGCAATATTACAAAGTGTCTCACTATTTACCTATTTATTCTTAATCACTTTTGTGCAATTGAAAACTTTTCACTCATATCAACATTAAATCAACTCAATAATATAAAGGCCTCCTGCCTATACTACATAATAAAGGATATTACATATTAGGCATATACGCGTACACATACTCATATACACATACAATTAAATAAGATATTTTGCTAGATTATGTCGTGGGTTGTCACGCAACGTCGGAGGGCGTTTAAAGAAACAAACGTGGAGTTGTATTAATTTTTAAGCAGCAGATGGGTTGTAATTCGACTACATACATTCGTACGCATAAGCTTATATTATATTTTATTCCATGTCCGCACATTGAAATAACGAATTCGTATCAAGCAGTATTAACCAGATATAAAGACATATGCAAGCCCTTAATATTTACCTAGCTAAAATAAAACAATTAAAAAAAAGGTATATATATATTATTGCATAATATCGCTTAATGTCTACCTGTCCAATCAAATAAAGATAAATATTTTATTCTAATCTAAATATGTATATCAGGATGTTTTAAATTTTGCGCACAATCTTGCATAGCTTAGTTGGCAACGCCATCATCTGCATTGTTGATATTAATAAAAACATCGATATTTATAGCATTTGTGAGCTCAGAAATATCGTATGCACATTTAATTATCGATATATGCAATCGATATCAACTTCCCTACCGTCTGTGCTTGAGCACTGCGTTTTTCGTTGATAATTTTTTAAAATTAAGTTTTAACGTATTTATTTAGTAATTTATTCGTTTAAAATAGTTGCAAAGTGCTTAACAAAGATACCACAACGTTTTGCTTTATATTTTATGTACTTTCGTGTGCGCGCTTTGTGTGAAAATGTGAAAAACATTGCCAAAGGTATTGGTAATTGGAGAACGTTTTTTCTATTATTTTATCTCCTCCTCTTCCGCTTCGTTTTGTGTGGTGCTACTCTCTTTGTGCTCCTGCTCCCTCCAACCAAATGCGTGCTAATTGTTAGTGTGTGTGAAAATAAATAACAAAAAAGGTGCGCACTGCAAATAAAACTAAAACCCAAAATGCAAATGTGTCTCTACCAAAAACTAATTGTTGAGTTTCCAACAACATGAAAATGATAGCAGACGCTCCCCCAATACGGTGCCGAGCTGGCATATTTTGGTAAGCGACGCCGTCAATTTGTGGGATAATCAACGGCCGCGAACTACTCGCTCTGTGCAAGGAATTTACAACAACAAAAACAATGTTTTGTGCGCGCTTAGAGAACAATAATGAAATGTGCAACTATAGCTTTACAAGTTGTACTGATATGAAGCGAGCTCGTTGAGTAGGCAACAAATTTCGTTGTGAGTTACACAGCATCTTTAAACATATGGCAGTACATATGTGTACGTATGTATACGTCCGAAGTCCAATGGGACGTGTTGATAACCATATTTGTGATTATGCGTAGATTTTATTTTTTTTTTTACTAATAATCGTGCTATAACTATATGCCGGCTGCCTGCTTCATGTTACTGTAATTGTTATTGCAACGGTATCTGTTGAATGTAATTAAAAGTTTTCAATTGTTCATAACCTAGGACACATTCCATAGTGCGCCTGTTGTTGTTGCACATAAAGCAACCATGCATGTAAATTCAAACGTACGCTTAAATTAAAAATTAAACAAAATGGCAGTTGGTGGAGCACGCAGCAACGTTCTTGGGTGTGAGCGCCGGACACTCGCTCAGAGAGAGAGAGAGAGAGAGAGAGAGAGGCGAACGAGTGAAGTAGCGAGTGTTGCTCGTGTCTTGAGTTAACGTGGAAAGTGTTTGTCTGTGTAAAAACATGTGTGTGTGTGTGTATGAATGTGTGTGTAACAAAGTGTGGAGTAAGAAGATGGAGCACAAGATATATAAAAACAAAATGCGAGCGTGTAAAAACAAGAATAAACGTTACAATATAATACTCAAAAACATTTTTAATTGTTTGTATTTTAGTGTTTCTCAACAGCAGTGAATATAACTGTTGTGTGCATCAACAGTGACGACAAATGTGTGACGCTGTGTGTGTGTGCGTGTGCATGTATGCTGAAAGAAAAACAACACAAATTGGGAAAAAATCAAACCGAGAAGAAACAGAAACAGCCAAATATATATGAATATATAAAGATTGATGTAAAGTATAGCGGCAACAAGACAGCATAACTAATGTACGGCGTAAAAATGCTGCAGCTACTGCTAGTACGGCTGAAAAAATGACCGATGAGCGCAACGGTAACGGCAATAAGAGCAACATCCACAGCAGCAACAGCAGTCCGACGAGCATTGCCAGCACCAGCCACAACAACAACAGTAGTAGCGGTAACAGTACAAGCGGCAGCAGCAACAACAACAACGAGCTCTTAATTGCAGAGGCGGCTGCAAAGTTTTTACTCAAAAATGGTATAAACGGCACAAACACAGCAGCAGCAGCAGCAGCGGCAGCAACACTGCTAACAGCAGCTGCAGCTGCTGCCACATTTCAACTGCCCGCCGCACCAGAGCTGAAGCCAACATCAGCAGCAGCACCGACAGCAACAGCAACAACTTTAACTACGTCGCCATCAGCAGCAACATCCAATGGCACCACGCCCACATTATCATCGATTAAAACTAACAGCAGCAGCAACAGTAGCAGCTCAAGTCTCACTATGGCGACGGCCTCTGCTACGGCGCTCCTTGCCACCGCTGCCGGCGTTGCAGCTCCAAAGGCAACCGCCGATGTTATGGCCGGTGTACTGGACTATAGCGCACTGAATGGGCCCAGTGCCACCGCCACAAAGAGCAGCAAATTTGGCGGTGCAGGCAACGGAAGCAGTAGCTTTGATATGGGCAGGCATCCGATATCAACGCACAGCAACAATAGCATGTCCGGCTGTGGAGGACGGCTGCAGTTTTTTAAAGGTCAGTAAAGAAGGCGCCATATTTCTAGACGACTCAACTAAGCAAATATGCAATATATTTATAATATTAGCAATATATTTCTAAGTCAAGGCCGACATTGCACAAAACCATTATACTCTATCCATAGATACATTAATTATAGTTCTTCCGTTCCATATAGACGTTCTTTTATCGTACATGCTCTATTTATTTCAAACAATATTTACAACTGCTATATTTTGCAGATGGTAAATTTATATTGGAATTGGCACGTGCTAAGGACGGCGATAAGAATGGTTGGGTATCAGTGCCGCGCAAGCCATTTCGTACTCCATCGGCAGCGACATCGGCTACGGTAACGCCCACGTCGGCAGTAACAACAACGTATCCAAAGAACGAGAATTCCACATCGTTAAGCTGTAAGTGGACCACAGCTATAAACATATGCAAGAGTTCAATCTTAACAAATTTTATGATTGCAGTTTCGGATGACAATAGCTCCATACAGTCATCGCCTTGGCAGCGTGACCAACCCTGGAAGCAGACGCGACCGCGTCGTGGAATCTCCAAAGAATTGTCGCTCTACTACCAGCGTCCCAGGTACAATGTGCTTAGCCACAGTGCGCGACAGGCTGCGATGCGTAAGCGACGTCGTCCGTACGAGCCAACGCTCGCTAGCGAGGATCATCATTCGATCTTTGAGCGTGTTTCCACGCACGAAAACGGCGATGAGACGCTAAAGGCTATAGAAGCTGATGCAAAAGCGGCGGAAAAACAGTCGGATGAGATTAAAGCAGTAGCGATCAAAGAGGAGCTGAATGAGGTCAAGACAGAGTCGGAATCAAAGGCATGTTCCAATGCAAATAATGATTCGAATAATGATGCAGTTAAAGTGGAGGCAACCATGGAGAAAATGAACACAAGCGAAGATGAGGATGCTATGTCGGTGACAGTGGACGACGTGACAGCCCCAACGAGCGATAGCTTGGTAAACGGCAATGCGAGTGAACTGAATGGCGATCTCAAGGCCCACACCAAGTGTGAGGCAGGCAGCGAGATTGACACAAGGACATCAGCAGCATCGACATCAACGACGAAGACGACAGAAATAAGACTTAAAAAGCAGAAACCCAGAGCTAAGCTCAATAGCATCATACAGAAACTAATTGATGGCGTGCCTGCGCGCCTCGAGCAATTGTCAAAGACACCAGCGACGGCGGCAACAGCATCAGCAATGGCGTCAACAGCAGAGCGCAGCAGCAGCAACAGCAGCGGTGGCGGAGCCATCGGTAGTCTAAGTCACTCCTTGGCGCACAAGGTACGTGACCATTTCGCATTTGTTTCTATACGAATTGGAAATTGCTTTAATTGATGAATATTCTTAAGCTTTTCTCGGCGCATAATATATCTTTTGATTTTCAGGTCTCGCCGCCATCGTCGGCAGCGGCTGCCAGCCGTCTAGTCGAATATCATCATCAGCATGTGTCTCCGCGCAAGCGAATATTGCGTGAATTCGAGAAGGTATCGCTGGAGGATAACAATGGCTGCGTGAATAATGGCAGTGGGGTAGCTGGAGGCAGTAGCGGCGGCGCCGGTGGTAAGCGTAGCCGCGCCAAAGGCAGTTCAACAACCGGCGCAGTAGCCAATAAGTCGATGCCCATGAATCTGGCGCCGCCACAGGCCAAAGCGCTGACCACGGCCACAACTACAACAACGGCAGTAGCAGCAGTAGCTGCCCCAACGCAGCCAACCCGACTGAATAGCTCCTATAGCATACACTCGCTGCTGGGCGGCAGCGGTAGCAGCTCCTCCTCGAAGAAGAGCCACGATCAGCCGGCCACAATAATCAGCAATGTGCATCATCCGCATCATCATTCATTGTACGCAAGCTCCGCAAGCTATCCACGCGCGCTGCTTAACTCGCCCAAGTCACCGGAAATGGGCAGCAGCAACGGCGGCAAGTCACCGTCACATGCGGTCAGCAAGAAGCAACGTTCGCCGCCTTATGCCGCTGCAGGATCGCCGCTGCCAATTGACTATGGACGACGCACGCCCCCAGACAGCTATAAGTTGGCACAGGCGCATGCACAGCATCTACAGCATCATTCCTTCTATGCGCCTTATGTAGGCGCCGCTGTTTCGCCGCACATTCCACAGGCAGGCGGCGGCACACGTGATCTGCTATCGCCACCGCGGTCATCGAGCGCTTCGCCACGTGAGCCTTCCGCCACTGCCAATACGCCGCACCGCACTGTGCCCAAGAAGACTGCATCGATACGACGCGAATTCGCCTCACCAACGGCCAGCAATAGCAATAGCAGCAGCACAGCGAATAGTTGCCCCTCGCCAGGCGAGCGCAGCACATCGTCGCCGGAACGGCGGCATCTTCAACTGCAGCGTGGCTCGCCTAGCGCTGCTGCGGCTGCAGCTGCTGGTTCGCCCTTGCACTATTACATGTATCCGCCGACGCAGCTGAATGGAAGCGGCACGGCTAGTCCGCATGGAATAGCACCTAATGCAACACCTACAACAAGCAGTGCAGCAGTGGCCGCTGCTGCTGCGGCTGCTGCAGCTGCATACATTCCATCGGTAGTCTCGCCCTCCCTCTACCATCCGTACATATCGACGCTTGCCGCGCTGCGTCATAATCCGCTGTGGGTGCAGCATTATCAGGCGGGTGCGTCGCCATTGCTGCCACCACCGCCACCACATCCACATTCGCACCCACAGACGAGTACCGCGGTCGGAGCGCGATTATCGCCACAATCGCCGTATCATCCTTTTGGCTACAATAATGTGAATGCGGCTGCTGTGGCCGCCGCAGCGGCTGCAGCAGCCTCTGCTTTTGGGCAGCCAACATCGAATCCGCATCTAGGACATCCAACGCATCCAGCGGCGATAGCACATCATAATACGCCGCCTACACATTTGGCCGAGCACAGAACGCACATGCCAAAACTGACTGATATTTGTACTGACCAAATGTCTGCAGCGTCCAGTCATCGCACCACCGTCTCCAGCTCATCGGGCAGCTCTAGTGCGTCCGTAACGTCTGCAGGTGCAGCGCACGGTGGCGGTGTCAGCAGCGGCCCCGACTCAGTACAATCCGCAATGTTTCAAAATAGTAGTCTAAGGAATGAACTAAGTTCAGGTGAGCCCCATTGAGAAATATACAAAGTTAAGATATGCAAATCAATATTAATTTATTTCAGACTTACCACTGAATCTGTCAAAACACTGAGACATACGTGCCCCCACACCAGCATTCCCCATGGCCCCTTCCATCCCAGCTGCTTCAGTGTCTGTGGGCAACCCCTCGAGTTAAGTACATTATTGCACTAGTAGCGCTTAAGACGACATTCAAACCACACTACACACATAAAATTATTTCATAAGTTAGCTGATATTTATTAGTTGTAACTCAATTGTATTGCATTAAGTTAGCTAGGGTTTATTCTAAGGCCGAGAGACAATTTAAAAAACAACAACAACAACAAAAAAATAGGAAACTGCGAGTTCATCGAAATAAATTTTAGAATGTTTTCAAAACCGTTCGAAAACTATTTATGCAATCAGTTAGGAGTATAAATAATCAACTAAATTATTTGGTCGACATATTCAATAACCAAACTTAAGAGTAAATTTATATAATATATATATTTTTTTTAATTCCCATAGGATGCACGTCTTAAAGAATCTCAAAAATGATTTAAGGGCCGTTATATCAATGTCCAGTTGCAGCAAACAGAAAAAAACAAAAAACATTTGTTTCAACTGCTCATTGAGAATTCGGGCATAAGATTTTTTATCAAAACATTTCCTTGAAACAGACTGAACTTAAAACTTTTAGAGAGAAAACAAAAAACGGTAATAAATTTAACATATACCACTGCATCTTACTTTTATATGCATGTGTGTATGTAAGAAAGCACTTTGAAAATAAGAAAAACTTAAAAAAAAAATGCAAATCAGATTTTTAAAGAATGCGTGTGCCTTTGAACATGAAAATAAATCTAGGGATTAAAAACGGAGAGTAATTTACTACGAAAAAACAACTTACAAATTGAAATATTCACACTTATACAAAACTGTTAACCTACATGTTATTCTAAACTGCATACTTAACGGTATACCATGCAAATGAGGTCCAAAATACAGATGCAAATTGCAAACAATTGACACTCGATTTTGTATTAAGTCCTGGCCATACTTATTTTTTTTACCCTATCTTCTTAATATTGTTATTTCTTAATATTGTAAATGAATATATAGCAAAATATTTTTGATCATATTTTGCTATGTTTACATTTAATAAAAAAAAATACTATAAATTATATAAATATTTCAAATATATTTAATTGAAAAGTTCAAGATTAAAGCTCGTTTGAATTGATCTTAATCTTTTCAATTGAAAGCACAGAGAATTTTCCTGTATGGCTGTACTTAATATAAAATGGTCAATATCGCCAACACTAGAATTGCAAAAATGTACAAAAAAAAAATGCTACGTCTACATATACAGAAAATATTTACAAGAAACACAGACCTATATTTCGTACAACTGAAACTAATACAAATAAATGAAAAGAATATATATTCCTAAAAGTAAAAAAGACAAAAATATTTCTCATATTTTCTAAATTATTTATATAATACAAATGACTATTTATATGTTATGCTATAAGTAAAAATAGTTGTAATATTTGTAAATACAGTATTTTTACACCGACAACAATGTAAGAGCAACAGCAACAAATGAGTAAACAAATAACCCATATTTTTAATATACAACTATTTTTTTAGAGGATATTAACTTGATATATTGATGTATACACAATAATAAAATCTAAACGATTCCACAACCTAAATATTTCCCAATGAACGCTAACATGTTATTCATAGTTAGCGTTACGTAAAATATAAATCAACATAATATCAAAAGTCCTTGAATTGTTCCACCTAGGGTCTATAATATTTTTTTTAAATCATAATATTGGTACTGTGTACAACGCCTTTGTTCGATGAAATTTTAAGCGTTGTTTTGAATAATTTTCATCCATTTGTTTATATGTAGATTGCTGGCAACGTTGATTTTTAAATGTACTTCGTGCATTTAAGACGCTGTTTGGCGAGGTTTCAAATACTAAAACCGCGAACCTAACTGAAAAACGCGCGATAGGGTTATATAGTATAGTAAACATATATTGAGTACTGCGTCGTCTATATGGTCATGAGATGAGTGTAAAGTAAATCGGAAACAAAACTAGTTTTAAAACAAATAATATATTTTATATACATACATAAAACTGAAACTGAATTATTGATGTCAAATAAAATTTATACTAAATGATTTATAAAAACTTAAAATTTAATTGCAATTACGCTAGCGGTATTTCTAGATATTCCTTAATTAACCCTAATTATTCATGATTAAGAATATTTGCCATTTCTTTCCACAAGTGGTAAGTTAAAAAGCTGCTAATTTTTTAAAAACTTTAATTTTCCTAGATCCACAGCATAATACCAAAGACAATAAAAATACTTAGATTATTCTTTTAGAGGTACCAAATTTTCGAAGCACATGAAGCGAAAAGCTTTGTACGTTTGATCTACGTAAACTTTTTTTTCGGCTGACCTATCCCGAGATTATATTTTCATATATTGTGCACTGAGCTTGGGTCCGAAGAGAATTGATAACTTTTAAGCCGATGCTGGTATTTAAATAATTATTTTAAGTTAAATTAAGATATATCAAAATACCTTTATTTACGTATATTTAAATTAGGAGGTTTTGGCGCCTTGGTTGGAGGTAGGCTAAGATTGGGTGGAGGCTAAGATTTGGCTTTTCTTAAACCACATACCTTGCAACAAAATCAAGAAATGATTATCTTCCCACATGATGATTATATAAGATATAAACATTTAATTTATACATTTATACCATTACTTGAAAATCAAAATCAAATCAAAATATTCAAATAAATATAATTTTGGGAGAGGTCATGGTCGGCGCAAGTAAACTACTAAAATTTGTTTTTTCAGTAGCGACAAATTGCAATTGGGGGACAGGTCGCCATTACTTATCTTAGTAGGTATTTATATTGTCCTCGATATTATCAGTGTATAAGTTTCCTTGCAAATAATTGTATTTGAAACGTCTAAAATTAACTACACTTTAAGAAAACACAATCGATTTTGGTGTTGCATACAGTCTATTGAAGAAGCACATTTTTATTTATTTTTGTTGTATGTTTCGGTTAAGGTATACATCACCTTTACATATGTATATATGTATGTCGTATATGCACGCATATATTTGTGAATTACCCGGCGTAATTAATATATTTGTTGCAATTGTTTTTCATGTATATATGTACTTAGTTCCTTTAAATTGCTTTCATCATCCATTCATATACATAAACAAAATGCATTATAAGATAAGCATTAGATTACAAAAACCATTAGACAAAAAAAATATTGTTTCTTGCGATTGCATCAACAGAGAATAATTGGAGTATAGTATAATAACTTATAATTTACAAAAAGTTACAAACTTAAATTTAATACATATAATAATAGGATACATTCAGTATAATTTGTATAGGTCAGTGGTTTTTGTGTATAGGGGCATTTGTAAGAAATCAAAGCAAATTGAAGAACAAAAAAACTTGAAAACATTTCTTACAATTTGACAAAAAAAAAGAAAAAAATTAATTGGAGCAGTGTGGAACAACAGAAGCATATTGACAGTTTGTAAAGTGGCCTAAAATAGTGAACACATAGTTTCTAACTCAGTTAAATGGTTGATATAAAATATTGTACTACAAATTTTCCGGAAACGGAAACACAGAAGTGTGGACAAAAAGTTACAGGGTTTTATCTGAATTGGGTGAAGTAAGCCCTACATATTTCTGGCTGCATTTGTAATTAAATGCAAGTGGATTTCGATAGAATGAAGTCTTCTTCTAGGATCACATCGAATTCATGCCGTTTTCTATTTTGAGTCACACGACGGATCACTTCATTAAAGATCAGACCTATAATAATCCTTACGCACAATTTTGCGTTTTCCCAATTAATCAATAATGCACAACATTTGCAGTGTATGCTATGTCCTGAATATGATGTATGATTTGATGTCAGATCCACGCTTTCAAAAAACACCCCGAGATTATCATTTTTCAAAAAACCATAAAACACAAAAGGTGTTTTTGTTGTTGCTTGTTATTGCAACAAAATAAAAAAAAAAACAATGGTACATAATAACCTTGATAATTAAAGTAAGCGTACAACTTAACCAATGCAAAAGAGTTAGACGCTTAGATTAAATATATATAATAATAGGATACATTCATCATAATTTGTATAGGTGTGGGTAAATCAAAAGCAACATAAGAACGAAATAATTTGGAAACACTTGTACAAGTTGAAAACAAAACATTACAGAAAAGAAAAAAATTATAGGAGCACTTATGGAGCGAGAGAAGCGTATGGGCTGATAACCTTTATAAGTAGTGTAAGTGTGTGGGTGTGTGTGTGTGTGTGTATTGGCCTTATATAGTGAACACATAGTTTTGAACTCGGTATTATGTATTATATAAAAAATTGTACTACGCCTCATCCGGAAACGGAAACATAGAAATGTAGACCGAAAAGTAACAGGAGCTGCGGATTGTGAGGGAGTGTATCTGTCTGTGTGCATTTGTTTTTATCTCGCAATAAAAAATTATATTCGTTTGCTACGTTTGCGTTTTGTAGTTTACTGTTTGTTGTTTTTAGAGAAATTGTGCGAGGCCCAATTGAGTGAGGTCTTCCACGAATTGGCCAAAGCTTCACTGAATTTCGCCTGGAAATGTTTGCGCGCATTTTCCTCCGTGTAATCTAGCACCTGTTCAAATATATGTTAGAAACGTGTGGACTGTGCGATATAATAAAAGTGCAAGGCTTACCAAAGTCTCACGTAAATAGTTTAAATCCTTTTCGGAGGACAGTTCCGGCAGTCCCGTTGAAATCATCATTGAGAACAGCGATAGTATAAGGCAGCCGTGTTTGCGTAATATTAAAAATGCCTAAAGTAAAATACGGAAGTTTTTTCTTAGATGTTGTTAACTAGAACACGAATGATGTTTCAACTTACACGCTCGCACAAAGTCTGAAAATAACAAAACTCCTTTGCCTCGCGATCGATACAGCCTTTGTTAATGACGTAGACAAAGTCGTGTGTAAGCACAAAGGGCACACGTTCGCGACGCACACCAAACTTCTCCTTAAAGTGGCCCAAAATGTGGCCAAAGTCAATATGGAAGAGCTTTTGATAGGGTAATATGTGTAGCATGATTACTTTTACATACAAAATGTGATCTAATTTGATTACCTGTCCATTGCGCTTAACCATGATATTGTCAGAATGACGATCGGCCACGCCCAGCACGTATGTCGCAACGCAGTATCCAGCACAGCTGAGCGTAAACTCGTTAATGGCCTTGTTAAGTTTCTCGGGCGCCTTGTT